TTGTCCCGGTGCCTGCACTACCTGCTGTTGGGGATGTGTACCCTGCAGCTGTGCCGGCTGCGAGACCGCAGGCTGCCCAGTTACGGCAATCTGCAACGGAGGTTGGGATAACATTGTCTGAACAGGAACCTGTACACTAGGACCTGCTGCTAACCCGCCTGTCAAAGGCATACTCAGTAGGGAAGCGGCCTGTACCGAGGCTGGAGACACTACAAATGGGGATACTCCAGTCACCGGTGGGACAAAAGGAGGAGGCTGTACCACCGGCCAGGCACCGGACCCTGATGGTGATGGTGCCGCCTGAACTCGCCCGACCAGCACGTCCAGGCTCCGTTGGATGTCCTGTAAGAGTGACGTGTCCTAGTCCTGCATCTCCACTACATCTAACAGGGCTGTCCTCACGATCCTCACATCGACATCCATATTAGTCAGGTCCAACCCCTCTAAATCTCTAATGTTCACTTGCCTCCGCTGCATCCTAGTCCTTCTGATCATTCTATCCTTTTCTGCCTGTATCTCATCTAATGCCTTCGAGTCCTTAGAGGAGCTAGAGGAGGAGTGGTCTAGATCGGACCCGCTAGCTTCTTGGACAGCCATGGCTAAAGCTCCTAAGGGTGAGTTGTTCGTCGGTGAGGTAGATACAGGTGGCCACTAGGCCGGGGCCTTTTATGATACTTGCTTGATGAGGAACTTTATTAGTCGCGCATGCATTGAGAGGCTGCGTGTGGCATACTGCGCAGCCACACGGGCCTGCAGGGGCCGTCCCGCATTCTCATCCTAAAAGCCTAGAAAATAAGGCTTACAGGCCCCATGTCGTTTCAGCCTGAAACTGAAAACGAGGGCCTGCAGGCCCTATTTCGTTTTCAGCCTATAACAGGGCTTTTCAGCCCTGAGGCTTTTCAGCCTGAAACGGAGGGCCACTTTCGGGCCCTCATAAGATCGACCTACCCTAAGACTCAAGCACAAAACCAGGGTTTTGGGGACAGGATATCTTTAGCCTGTTCCCACGACAGCCTCAAGCAGGAGCTGCAGCGGCAGCCCTTGACTCCCTGCGGCATTGGCAAGAGCAGCCTCCTTGACTGCCTCGCCCTGCAGTCAAGAGGCAGGCCGAGTAGTACATAGGAAGTTCCCATGCACTACACGGGTGGGTAGTTGGACAGTAGGCACAAGTAGTCTTCAAGATTCAGCCGCAGCACTCAGGAGGAGCGCTGCAGGGAGTAGCTTAGCGCTAGCAGTAGTCTTCAACGCTGGGCGCTAGTAGCCATAGCAGTAGTCTTCAATGTTGGGCGCTAGTAGGTGGTAGTAGTAGAGTTGGGAGAGATGGCTGGCGGAGGCCAGTGGGACTTACCTGTGGCACCATCGCTCCAGCTCCATCTGCGAGGTACCTGCATCAAGGCGCCAACTTCAGAGGTTAGTACCGGATTGAGAGAGAGAGAGAGAGAGAGTTCTTCGTCTTCCTCTTCTAAGTCCACCATCTCTTCTTCCCCTCTCGCCACCTCCTTCTCAGTATCAGCGGACTACTACAGAGAGAGAGAGTTGTGACTTGAGACTTGACGACAWTGGATCCAGRCACGACATTGGGATTCAGACATTTGACGAGGGAYTATTTGGGCCTGTGCCGAAGACTTGGTGTTGACGACATTCCCATCTTCCCCTCTTCTTCATCTAACCCCCCTCTTCTTCGTCTGTGTATGGTTCGGGGCTGGCGCCTTCTTCCTGTGTGAGCGCCAGACCCCTTCACACCATGGAGATGATGATGATGATGATGTATGTTCTGGGCTGCATTGCAATATTGATCGTTCGGATCATTGGTATCTAAGTCTTCAGCTACGCTATCTTGTACTTTGTATTGAGAGGTCGGTTCTTGTTCTGCTCTGCACCGTTACAGTATGCAACAGTTTGGTATCGGAGCGGACCTCTCATTCAGAGGACCTGCTCAATCAAGTAGCCAGCTTGCTTGATCTATTGATTACTCGTTAGTAAATCAAGTCCGACTTCGTCAAATCTCTGAATTTTTCTTTTTCTTTTTCTCGCAACAACTATCTGAAAATTTTTGATATTCGCATTTCGTTTTACCTGAAAATTTCTGATATTGGTATTTCGTTTCACGTAACAAATATCTGAAAAAATTCTGATAAATTGCATTTCGTTTTGTCTGAAAATTCCCGATAGTAGCATTTCGTTTCTCTGATATTTTGCATACATAGCTGAAAATTTCTGATGTTAGTATTTCGTTTTCTAGGCATATTGGGATAACGATAGAAGTGGTCATATTCTAGAAAACCGGAATTATTGTTTTCTGAAAATCGAATTTCCATTCTATCTTGCAATTTTTTTTTTGAAAACCGAAATCTTGCAAAGCCTACCAACATTTTGTTAGGCATATTCAGGGGTTGCCATATTCTCAGAAACTGAATTGAGTTTTTTTCTGAAAACCGCATCTCTACTCTATTTTGCAATTTTTTTTTTCAAGATCGCAATTTTGTGAAAGCCGAAACTTTGCGGAACCTAGCCTAGATCTCATTCATAGTACTCCTCCGACATGTCTCACTCA